ACGCGATCCCCTCTGTCATCCTCTTTGCATCAGCTGTTCTCATTAAACTACACTTTGCATCATCACTGCACACATGCAGGATCCAACAACACAGAACAATGAGAACAATCGACTTGTTGGACCTGCCATGACACACGTGTAGTTTCAGAATGTGAGTTTATTTTCTCTGTCTTTGTGTTATTATTAATATGATTTGTATGGATGTTAGTTGGAGTTTAGTTTACAATGTAAAATTCTACACAAGTAGGATGTAAATGTTTACATCTGTGGAAACAGCATCGTGGTGCTGAAATGCACAACTTCCAGTTTTCTTATTGAGTAGAAACAGAAAAGTCAGACAGGATTCGATAGAACTGCATAAATCGACACTTCTTAGTTTGAACTCTTACGGACGAAGCAGATGGCACGGACTGCTACTGAAATAAAAACAGGTTTTTTTGCAGCGTGTTGCTATTCAGTGAACTGTGAAGTACATGCAGGTGTTTCCCATTCGTGCTGCTATAGACTAAGTCAGACCGGTTTCAGGCTCATGCATAGCACTGCATTTAGCCTCCAGATTTTTGCAGCTGACTGCACACCTTTATGCAGCAACACAATAGTGTAGTGTAACGCAATACTTTCCTTTTGCACTTTTTCTTTGTATTCTACTGTAGTTTTTAGCCTTTAGTGGCATTAGATGGTGAATTAATAAGTTATGGCTGATTAAATAGTTCTTTGTTATGTATGCATACAAACGTGTGACATATTTTGACCATTGTTCAGTAAACTTTAAAATAAAATATTCGAACATGTTTCCTGGTGTGGAATGAGCATCTGACTGTGAATGAGGATATATCCACGTAAACAAGAAAAGAAAGTATATTTTTCTGCTATTTTAGGCCGTTTAATAGACAAAAGCATGCCTCACAATTAAAATGATTTCTGATAAAGAGATTTTTAAAAAGAAAACTCCCTTGTGTCAGGCTCAAAGCTTTTTGTTGGGCAAAAGTATGAAAATAACCACAGAACGAGTTTATAATGCAGTTTACTTCCTGTTCTGTCTGCGTTCTGAAAAACATGAAGCCAGTCAGAGATTTTGGTGCTTTAAAAAGAAAAGTTGAAATCTTTATAATTGATATAATATCTGTGACCTTTGAAGGTGACAAAATAATATTTATTTACAACAGAATATAAATGTAATACCAATAAATGTGATTCTGAGTTTGTAATGCTTGCAGTAAAACCAGTGACTAAAGTCCAAAAGAGGAAGTTCACCACAATGAACTGACTGTGAACGCCATAACTGCCTGCTGCATCACAGCTCTGAACACAGTCTGAGCTTTTCTGTTTTATACATTTACCTCACACCTGCCTGCAACAGCTGTCCATGCACATGTATGGAAATGAAGTAAACAATCCATTTACTTTAACATGTGAAGCACAGTTCATGTCAAACAAACGCACTTCACTCTGTTCAGCAGCAGCGATGCTTTTGATGAGCAGCAGGAGCCGATGAGACGGGAAGCTGAGCGATTTCATCTCGCTCACTAAATAAATAAAGAAATCAAATTCCCGCTGTCGTGTTTGTTTGTGTGCATGATTTCAAGTTCACTTTGAGACAGCCAAATGACAATCTTGGAAAAATGCTGCAGTTTACAGGGAGGCGAGAGCCTGAAGGTGTTTGTTTTCCAGCAGTGATGCTGTTTTCCAGGGAAAGCAAATATCGACTGGCTGGGAGGGGCAGGTATGGCAGCAGGAGGGACTGTGTTAGCTTTGCATTTAGCATCGTTTGACTGTACAGACTCATATTGTAGCACATTCAGTTCCTGCATAAAAAGTTAACATTTCAAACTGTTTTATTGTATTTGTCTAATTTTACTTCCTGTTTCACCATGACTGTATCAAATACACAAATAGGAGTAATACAGTGATATCCTTTCAGTCTTCATCTCATTATCTTGTTGTTAACAAAATATGACTCCGCTAACTTTTAATATTCTCAGTGTAATGTCTGTGAGGGTTCTCAGTCATCCAGGTCGTCCCAGCCTAAGGAGCTGGGAAAGAAAAGCATCTGGACTTCTTTTCTTAAAGACGTCCAGACTAACCATTGCTGCCATTAAAAGTGATTGTGTTTTGTATTTTGCTGAAGTGAAATTCAGGGACCGTGGGTAATTTATGGGTTAAAGCCAGGCCTAAACCTAAAGCAGTGTTCGAAGTGCCTGAGTCAAAACTGTAAACTAGATATAAAAGATGGCCATCATGAATACAGCCATTGGTTCCCTCATTTAGAAGCCTCAGTATCAGGTAATGCAAGCAGCTGTTAGCAGCTACATTCAGAACTTCATGGGTGCACAAATAAGTAGTGCTTTGTCTCATAGCACACCAGAATCGTACTCATCAAACCTTGCTTGTTACGTGGTGTCGTGTGCCTTTAACCTTCTGTGACCTCACTCTAGGGTTAGAACTGAGTTTAGAGTCATGACCTTTTCTATGAATCTGTGAGGACATCCTCAGGTTTAGAGCCAGCCTCAAATAGAACTGAACTTTTGATACTTTATGAGGCATTTCCAATACCAAAACTCTTCATGATATCAAGAACCTGATGATAATCTTTTTTCTTTTTTTTGCTTGCCCCTAACCCCACCTCTGCAAGCTTCTCTGCAGCCATCTCATTGGCTGCACGCTCTCTGATCAAA